CACCACCTTAATGGTGGCGCGTGTGCGCTTGTCTCCTTCAGACGCAGTCCGGGACCAGACGCTGCCCGGAATTTATCAGTCTCCCTCCGGGTTGGTTAAATTCTCCTCTTCTCCTTTTGTTTTCAGGTAGATGTACAGATCAGATGTTTTCCATGGTGATTATACGTACTTTTTGACATGGATTTGTGTGTTTTTCAAAGTGGGGTTTCAAATTTTTACGGTGAGTGGGCGACAGATGGGGGCAGCAAACAGAGGTTTTTGGTGAGGTGCATGTCGGATGATTAATCGCTAGCGCCAAGCGAGCCATCATGGGGCAAAGCGACAGGGAACTGCTCCGGCTGACAGCGAATTCTTGTTCGCCCGCCGAACGAACGAACTAATCCAGCTAGCTGGGACTACAGTAACGACGGCGAGCTTTACGCCGGAGTTCGAACAAACCACAGCAACTCTCGTCTCGTGCGACAGTAACAGTAGTAAAGATGTTGCTGCTGCCGACGCACGAAGTTAGGGAGCGTGGATCACGGATGGATGTCGGGGGGAACGAATCGGCAGGGAATGCACGGCCGAGAAATGGACAAAGGGAGCGGGTGTACCTGCTGCACTGCTGGCAGAAGCGCTGCTGCTGGCCGGCGACGGCGACGACGGGCGTCTTGGAGTGCGCCTCGCAGACCTTGTGCCGGCGGTGGTACTCGCGGCACCGGGACAGGTCGGCCGTGCACCCCTCCACGGAGCACGGCGGCACCGTCTGCTGCCCCTGCCCCGCCCTGGCCCGCTTCGCCGGCGCCGGCGCCGCGGAAGGCGGCGGCGGCTGCTGCTGCTGCTGCACCGATGCCACCGCCGCCGCCGGGACCGGCCTCCAGCTCGTCGGCGCGCCGAGCTTCAGGTCCAGCGCGCCGCCGCCTCCTCCTCCCCCGCCGCCGCTCGGCGCGACCACCGTGCTGAGGTCCCACGAAGGCATCTTGTGCTCCCAAGAATCCATGCCAAATACACACGTACGCAAGTACGTATCTCTGTGTTCAGAGAATTCCTCGCCTGCACGGCCCGGCCCGGGGAGCTTGCTTGTGCCGGCGACGATCAAGAAATGGCGGGTCTTAAAAAGGCTTTCTGGGCCGTACGCAGACAAGAACCGCCCACCCCTCTCCTCGGTCCTCGCCTAGGAAGAGGAAGAGGGAGAGAGTACAGTAAGCACCGCACCAGCAAGAGGAGTTGATTGGAAGCAAGAGCTTGGGAGGACGGGAGAGAAAAGTGAGATCGACGGATCGATGCGGCTCGCGGGACGGACGGAGAGATCAAAGCAGGAGCATGCAATTAAGTATGGCGGAGCCAGACCACCCACCACCACCACCACCACCAGGGAGAGGAGAGGAGAGGAGGAAGTGAGCTGCTGCTGCTACTGGTCTAGTGCTACTGCTAGCTTGCTTGCCGGGGCGGTCTGAGCTTTAAAGTGAGGACGGAGGACGGATGGGCGGGCGGACAAGGAAGAGAACAGTGGAGAGTGAGTGAAGAAGAGGAGAGCTAGCCTCAGCGGCAGCACCAACCCCGATGAGAGAGAGTTGGAGATGGGCGGAGAGAGAGGGCGATGAGGGGGGAGGGAGGGGGAGGACAGTGGTTGCAGACAACACAGGAGGAGACTCCTATTGGAGGACTCCAAACTCCAAAGGTGGCAATAATTGCCGAGACGGGCGGGCGGAGAGGGAACCACCTCACCTCCACCCCTGCCGCTGCCGCTGCCTCCACTGTTCACTCGCTCGCCCGCTTTAGGTTTTACCACTCCGCCACCAGAGTACCAGAGTTATTTTCGGTACGCCTGCGATGCAGAGAAAGAGAGCGAGCGAGGACGGGACGGAGGGAGGAAGGAAACCAGCGCTGCTGGCTGCTGCGTCAGCGTGGTAGGGAAGAAGCGGAGTTGGTGGCGAGGGCAGAGAGAGAGAGAGTGAGGGTCTGTTTGGTTGGAGACTAGTGTGGTCAAGCCAAAATGTGGCTAGCCACACAAGTATGGCAAGCCACACAAGTGTGGCTAAGAAATTGGACGCCAAACTTTGACAAAAGTTGGCAAAAAAATTGTCTCTTTGACAAATGGGCCATAGGGGCAATAAAGTGTGGCAAAAACCAAACACATGCTTGGCAAACTGTGGCTGCCAAATTTTGGCTTGGCAAATTGTGGCTGGGAACCAAACAGCCCCTGAGTGCGAATGGAAGGAAGAAAGAGAGAGGAGGAGGAGGAGGAAAGGATTCCTTCCTTTCCGTTTGGTGCTCGGCGCTGGCCGCTCCGCGCCCCTAGCGTGGTGTTTCTTTTGCCTGTTCGGGGCTCGGTTTGCTCTTTTCTAGGGGATCAATGGACCGGACGGGGGCTTTCTTCCTTTCACCACCGCCAAGGAGGAGAGGTGCACTTCACTTGGGTTGGGTTCGGAGGACGGACATGTGAGGGAGGAGGAAATTGCACAAACCACCATTTATTGGGGCTGGTGTTGCGCAAAACACCTACTATACGGGTTTGTTGCGGAAAACACCGCATATTGGTGTAATACATTGCAGATAGGTCTAACCTAGTGTTTGGATGCATTGACATAATTACTGACAAATGGGTCCCGCTTGTAAGTGCACATGTGACAATAAAACCGGCCACATCAGCCAACATATTAGACTGTCATTATCTCCAAAACCTGTGGTCCAGTTGAGCCGAAACTTTCCTAGATTAGTATTGAATATATGTAGTATTTACTGAAATTATTTCACATTTTTCTGAAAATGTCAAAAAAAATTCACACTTTTCTAAAATTGTTAACTTTTGAACCCAAATTTAAATGAAGCAAGTTCGGCATGAGATCACCAACACAAAAACATGGTAGATATTGTTCCCATTAGATTTTAGCATCAAGTAGCTGGCATGAAAGTTGGATAAAGGATAATAATCAGATATGTTGCTGAAACAAAATTTATACCGACACAAGGGACAAGGCCTTAAACACATGTCAAAATCAAGCGCAGAACCTAAGTAATAACAACACAAACGTCCCAAAAAATAGGATCCTAAACAAAAATATGTCGATCAACGGCAAAATTTATCCCCAAAAATGTAAGGGTTTCATGAGGGAGAAGAAGACCTAGGAAGGTAGGGGAGAAGACGAGCATAGCTCAGGTGAGAGGGGGGTGCTTACCCGATGATTGGGTAACGGCTCCATCACCACTGATGGGATGGTCGCCGCCGCCTGCTGTTCCTATGCGGAAACTCTGTGCTAGGTCGTTCCTCTCTGCTCCGAAAATATATTTTAGAGCACCTACACCTAGGCCCCTCTTATCTAGCCATCCATTCTTCGTATCAAGATCCATGCAAGTACATTTCTCTTTTTTGTTTCTATCACATAGAACATGTCTTCAAGTTAAAACCTTTGCAGAACAGTAAAGTCTTCAAGTTAAAACCTTTGCAGAACAGTAAAGCTTTCTAGCTAAAATCTAGGATAGTTTTTTTAGATTTTTCCGCCCAACATAAATATAAAAAATAAGTTTTATTTGATTAATATATATATTTTTTAGTATTTATGTTGGACGAAAAATTCTGAAATTTTTATCTCACATTATAGTTAGTAAGTTTTGCTGCGCTGCAAAGTTTGAAGTTCAAAACATGTTCTATATGAGAGAAACGAAAAAGAGAAAAAATGCATATACAAATTTAGTTGTCTCGCACAGATCTTAAAGCAATATTGGAGGACCAGGATAGCAAGGCATGGGTGCAAGTGCTCTAAAAATCTACGTCCCTCTTTGCTCGAGCCACTATGTATGAGATGGTTGTGTCTTGTTTCATCGACATCGGCTTTCAGCCCATCTATTTTTGTGAGTCGGCTTCCAGCCCACTTATTAAACTGTTTTTTTAACTCTGGTCTTTTCACTTCTTGGTCTAATATACATTGGCTGATGTGGCCGAGTTTTATTGTCACGCGTGCACTTAGAAGCGGGACCCATTTGTCAGTAATTATGTCAATGCATCCAAATACTAGATTAGACCTATCTGCAACGTATTACACCAATATGTGGTATTTTCCGCAACAAACTCATATAGTAGGTGTTTTGTGCAACACCAGCCCCAATAAGCGGTGGTTTGTGCAATTCCCTCTGTGAGGGAGGTAGGGAGGGGTGACTAGGCGCAGGGCCTTTCATTCACCTTTTGTAGGGGATGGATGGACGGACGGATGGACGGGCGGGCGGAGGCAGGGAAAAAAGTACAGGGAAAGCTTGGAAAGGGATGGGTGCATGGCCGCAGGGAAAAAAGAGGGGGAGCCTAGCGGGGTAGAGAGAGGGGGAGAGAGAAAGAGCTGCTGTGCTGGATGCTTTTCTGTGTTTTGTACTTTGTTTTTCTCTCTCTGTGTGTGTGGAGTGTTTTGCTGCCTCGGCTCAGCTGACATGATATGTTCACAAATCACAGTAAAGGGGGCAAGAAAAAAGCAAATCATAACCACCCCCTCGTCTCATCATGTGTATTGCTTCTTGCACGCAATATGTGTTTGGGTTAACCAATGACCGGTTTATAGCCGCAGGTTTTTTAGGTTCGATCCAAGGGTTTTATGTGCGTGGATTTATAGCCACGGCTTTTAGGTTCAATCCATGGGCTTTATATGCTTGGTTTAGCCGGGCACAGATTTATAGCCGCGGCTTTTAGGTTCGATCAATGGGTTTTATACGCAAGTTGGCTATATAGCCGAGTTTAATAATACACGTGAATTAATAAATTTGAGTGCGTGCATGAGGATCATAGAAAACAGCGACGGGTGTGGAAAACAATGCAACAGATCATGATATTATTATACAGCCAAGAAGATACGTTAGAAATAACATGTCGGTACTAGTTTTTTCTTTCCAACGATGAAAGTACACCTTGTGAAACTAAATTATACGTCGTCGACAAATGAGGTTTCATGGAACGAGAACAAACTGATAACTTATTCGCAGCTGCGCGACAGCTTTTCTATAAATATGTTTAAGGTGGAAGTATTCTAAAGCATCTGAAACCGCAGGGTTTTTTCATACGTTGTGCTATGTGCATGCCGTGTGGTCCCTCTAGCAAAGGTATTCCTGCCGGAGTTGATTAGTGGCCTAATGGGATTTCTTTTAGCGTCATTGCCGACGCAGCTATGTGAGGCCCAAGTTCCAACCCCTAATTAGCTACACTTGCACACTGATCGACCATTGGTCAAGAGCCATTTCTTTACTCCTGTAGTGCTGTGAAGTCATATCTTTAGTTCACCAAGACCTAGATCTTGAACCGCATGCCAGCTTGTTTGTACTACTCCAAGGACGGTAGGAAATGCGTGACCTCGAGATTCGGGGGTCAAAGCTTTGGTCCATGCAGTAGAGGAGTCAAATTTGAGTAGAATGGAACTTTTCTTCGGCCTTGGCTTGGATTTTGTAGGAGTATGTATATACGGGAAATGATCTCGGTCGTGTGAAGTTCTTCTTTTTTGAACTTTGAAAAACAAAGAGGCATTCCCTAGATCCTGAGGTGACTTCTTTGTGTACAGTATTTTGGGGTTTTGGTCAGGCGCACGCAGCTGAAGACTTGTAGTACTATACTGCACTGCTAGCAAGGCAACGGAGGCATGTCAGCGATGTACATCTACTTTTTCGTACTGACCATTTTTCTTTTTGGAATTATACTGTTCATCGCGCACTATAAGGTTGGGAGTTAAACCACCGATCACATATGCAGAAATTTTGTGGAGCTGCTATGCCTGCCCCCTAAAAGTCGTTTTTGTGGAGCTGAAGGTCGATAGGTGTGACTGATAATGGCACAGTGTGGATTAACTGTTAACTACTGTCGATGAGACGGGACTTGTTGTTTTGCTCCGGCATCCTGGGCTAATTGGTTGTGGTAGAAGAACTGTATTCGAACTGCTTGCTTTCCGCCTGCCTGCCTCCCTGCTTTCATTTCTGCATATAATGGTGCAGCCTACCTAGATCCTCTCTAGCTAAGCTTATAATTATTTT